TAATCATACTTTTTAAATTCCCTGAGAATATATTATTTAATTAAGTAATTTATTTAACTGTGAGTTAAAGAAAATGATTGTTTTAAAGACAAACTATTTAACTCTGATGCATCTGCTTCAAAAGCTTGAATTTCTACATAGATGATTTCCAGGTCTTTGACTGATTTTTAAGACTTATCTGACTGAAATCAGGATTTATCTAAAGAAAAAGTAAATTGAAGATTTTAAAATATAACTGTTTTTTGGCATTTTCTTTGTTCAATATACATATAGTCACTGTATTCATGATAGTGAATTCACATTCAAATAGAATTTTTTATTAGATAACAAAGATCAAATATAATTTATCCCCAGTGTGTATGTATGCATGTGGGGCTATGGATATATATATATATATATATATATATATATATATATATAATCATGTATAAACATGGATCTATATGTAAAGTCTTCAGACATATTGGTCTTAAGTAGAATTGCACAATTATTCATCCTACAAAATAATAATATTATTAATCTCCAGTGTAGGAGCCCTATAACCTGGGCCATGTCTATAAAATAGAAGTTCTATTAGTCTTAAGACCATCTTACACTACAGAATTTACACGTTTTACAGAAACCCAGCAACTGCAAACAACAGGATTATATGAAATATAAAATACTGTTAAAGGAAAAAATATAAACAATATCCACACTTTTAAGTTCCAACTGTCACACTTCTGAAAATACTACTAATTTTTGTTTAAACCAATGTAAGCTGCCTAACTTCACGTAAATAGTTCCATGCATTATATGACAACTGAAAGAAGTACAACAGCTCGGATTATCATAGAAAAATACCACCACTACTTACTACCACTGGTTCTTTAGAAAATTTAGCAGTTAAAACAACCAAATCATGAGTTTGTTGTTCAGTGTATTAAAACAATTAGCTGATTCCCCGTTGGTTAAGAACACAGAGCCTGGAGCCAGATTGCGGGAATCAAATCCTGGCTTCATCATTTCCTCATGTGGTGTTCTGATTCCTCACCTATAAAAGAGGCATAATAATGGCATCTTTCTCATATGATCACTGTGAAGATTAAATGAATTAATATATGCAAAGCACTTAGAGCAGTGCTTGGCAAGCAGTAAACACTGCATGTTCTAGTTATTATTACTATTTTCAATAAGTAGTTTTTAACTGCACACAGATACATTATAAATCATTTCCCAGTGAGTATTTAACTTGCAAGCACTATAGGGGGGAAAAAAAGAAATAAATGATGGTCCTCCAATGGAGCTACAATAACGCTTCCTTATAACAGATTTTAGATGAAAAAATGCTTAATCTTTGCCAACAATGTTTCATCAGCAACAGAATAGCCACATAATCAGATTTAACCAGGCAAAATGAAATTAACTATACCTGATTCTCCTGCAGTATTTTGGGGAAAAAAAAAAAAAACTAGACGATTTCAGATTTAATAAATGAAGCCTTTTCAGCTTTAGTAACTTTTGCTAAGAAGCTTGGAGTACTTTACAAATATTCTAATTAACCTTTGACATATTCATTGAAATAAGAGGCATTCACTGTTTCTATTTTTTAAATATATATTATTTAAAGCGATTTAGCAGGCTGAGACTACAGAGGATTTAGAAGTGCAAAAATATCTGTCATTCAAACAGTTCTGTTTAAGAATTATTAAAATTTGAGTCTTAAAAATGGAAAATCTATTAAAAAGGAATAAGTCTAACTAATACCAAAGTAGGACTTTTTGATCTAAAAAAAAAATAAACATTATAGACCAGGGCATGACAATGGACAGAACTCAGGAGTAAAGAAGAAAAAGATACTAATTCTGTACTAGCACCTTCACTAACCAAATGTGACCTTCTGTGTGTCTTCAAAGTCAGGACCTACATAAGTAATATGAAGGAGTTGGTGTAAAGAGTAGAACATAGAGGTTGAAGAATCCTTAAGGGAAACTCTCCCAACCATGGAGTTCTTCCTGTAGGTTTCTAATAGTGGAAAACCGTGTCCTAAGGTGCTTGAGCCACGTACAGGTATTTCTAACAGTTAAAAAGTTATTCTATAGCCACATTTGGGTCTTCCGGTATATCTAAACTCCCTAGCTTCTCAGATAGTCTATAATTCCAAATGTGGAGTACAGCAGAGCCCCATAAGAGCAAAATTTCTAAATGATGAAAGAGAACTCTATATGGGAGCAGAAGGGTGCCATTCTCTGTTCCATTTTGTTTACCATCATTAAGCACCATCAGGAATAGCGGGGGCGGGGGAGGGTCAAAGGAATTGAGAATGTTTCTGTACCTTCAACATGACCAAGTGGTAGTTTTCTTACTGAGAAACATTTCTGCCCTCCATGCTTCAAAGGAGTGCATGCCTGCTAGACTTCCCCTCTAGCACCACAGGGAGTTCTGAAAAGAAAGAAGTAGATGTGATTGAATTAATCCAGGACCTCGAGCTCTATAGAGCAGTGCTACTCAAATTGTGGTGTGAAGAATATGCTAACCCCAGGAACACTGTATTACTAAGCTGTGATGAGACAAAAGAAATTGAAAGTTAGAAGTTGAGAATTTTTGTAGTTCATGGATATTGTGGTAGCACCAAGTACATGATCAGTGGATACTTCTCCTTGAGTGTAGACAACTTTGAGGATTGTTGAGTGCTCTTGGTGAGTTACATGTTATACAAGCTGTATGTTAGTCACATGACGTAAGACCACAAATAGGTCTGCAGTGTATTGAGATAATTTGAGAACCTACCTGATAGGGCTCAATAATAGGCTTGTAGGTTTTGAGTTGAATCTTTTCATCTTCCTGCAGGTCCTTCAATTCCTGGACCCCCCCACACTTGTCCATTACCATCAATGAACTGATCATTTACCTTGTTTTGTCCTCAACTTCCCTAAACTAAAAATCCAGTTCTCTAACTATTTACAACATTCATTTTTAATAGAAGTTAAGTATGGTAAAAAATAGATGTTTCATGGGACTTTTTTATGTGATGGTTGACTCTAAGTTTGTGTTAACATGACACAAAATAGAAAACTGCTTCAGGGAATATTAGAAGTCCATGACTTGAAGCTATATTGTCATAGGTAAAGCAAATAAGATTAAAAATCATTCTCAGAAAAAAAAATTGGCAATGACATCCACTCCCCAAGATCGTAATGGTCCAATGGAAAGAGCAGTGAATTAGGTGTTGGGAGTCCTGGGGTCCGGTATTAAATCTGATATGAGTTCTGTGACTTTCATGAAATCTCCAAATCTTCTATACCAATATTCCCTCCTCTGTGAAAACAGAGGTTTGAATGAGTCAGTTTCTAAAGTATCTGACAATTTTAAAACTTCATACTTATAAGAAAACTATTTTCCCTGAATCTAGTTTCCTGATAGAAGAATAATTTTGCCAGCTGTGCATTTACTACCAAAAGACAGACTGACCTCTTTGTATTCCTTCGAGTGGTTCTTTATTACAAATTTATCATTATACATCTCTTAGAGATTGAAATCACACAACGAATGAGGCATTGACCCTGATCACAAAAAAAAAAAAAAAAACATGTCTTTGTCATGGAGACATGAGCTCCTATTTGCAGATACCTCTGGGGTTGAGGAGTAATTCACAGGGGCCTAATCATGATAGAATGGCTTCCATAAAATACCAGTATCTATAAGGTACTGTTCATTGAATTGTTGTTTGTCTCACAAGACCTTTCTCAGGGGGATCTTCAAATGCCTAACAATCCAAAATAAAGCCATCTGTCCTCCCTTAACTCATAAAGCCTACAGCATTAACCCAGGTCCTAAATAGAGTTAGGAATTAACTGAGCCCGCAGGAACACTTGAGCATGAATAACCACACCAGAGTTGATTCCACAGGTATTCCATTTATTGCTTATGGCCCCAAATCATGTTTTAAGCTTCTCTGCACTCCTGAGATGATACACCCCATGCCTGCCAAAGAAGCTGTCTCATGTGTGGGAGCTGGAGTTAGCTCAGAATGATCAGTAATTCCTATAATGTCTTTCATTTTCAAAATAAATGGAGGGGAGTGTTGATGCAAATGAAGACGAATTCAGAAAAAAAAATTGGAAAAATATGGAAATTACAGAGTAAAATGTAAAATGTCTAATTATAGATCATTATTCAAAAGAATAGAAAATTCATATCCAAGCAATATGAAAACTAAGGCAGTATATTTTAACAAAGAAAGATAATGAGATAATGGAATGTATAGATGCATATATCCTATGCATCATATTTATGGTTTATTATTGAATCTATCAAAAAGCTGAAGAATAAGGGAAAAGACAACATCACAGAACACTTTGAAATGTAATATTCCATCCTCATCCTCTAAAATATAGTTGTAATTAAAATTGAATACGTACATAAAACAGCATATAAATACAGTACAAGAGCTTTCTGATCTGAATTTTAACTTGAAAAGAACGTTTGTATTCTCAGTTTTCCAGAAAAGATAAGAGCAAATGGCAGTCCTTTCATAAACAAAGCAACCAAAGCATGTGATTTAGTTCAGGGCTGTCCCCAGCAAAAGCATGCTGTAACAGGCAAGAAGTACGAAGCAGGAAACAGTACAACAATGCCAGATGCAGTTAAGTGGATGAAGGGGAATGGAGTCGATGAGCGGAGCCCTGGGGTGAGGTAGTTATTCCTTGGCCCAGCATGCCTTGAGAATTTAGTCTTAGTGGCCACAATTCATTAGGCAGATGCTGTCATTGATATCAGGACTTTGAGCCAATGTCTTACCACCTCTTTTCCCTCAATAGCTGCCTCAGGGCTTCCAATGTTTTCCTGTAGTAAATCGGGCTCCTCTCAACTACCAAATTGAAAGCCAAGGATCATCCTTACTGATTTCCTACCTGAAAGAAAGAATCCCCATACTGTTTGGACCACTGGGATTTTGAATAGCTTTAGGACACATTTTCTCAGCACTCTTCTGCTGGTGGGTGTGCTTTCTTTCCCTGCAGAAATCAAAGATATCCACCTACGAGAAGATGTGGGCTTTTATGAGCAGCAGGCAGCAGACTGCCCTGGTAAAAAACAGTGATGAAGGGATCCAACGGGTACTCACCACTGACTACGCCCTGCTAATGGAGTCCACCAGCATTGAGTATGTGACGCAGAGAAACTGCAACCTCACTCAGATTGGAGGCCTCATTGACTCCAAAGGTTATGGAGTGGGAACACCTATCGGTAAGAGAGGCAAGGCATGAACCAAGACTGTTACGGGCAATGTCAATTATGCAGGATCAAAGAGGGTGAATGCAGTGATATCTACTCCACACTCTGAGAAGTTCTACAATGCCTTTAGTGGACTAATCAATAAGGGAAATATCTGTGTAGGTCAGAGCCATGTTTTGAATGGACGATTCCCAGATATTTAACTTAATGAACTTTCAACCCACTATTTCTTTCAAGGTGTACCACCAAGTGTCTGTTTGAAAATACCAATTTTATTATTTTACCCTCAAAAATTATCTTTAAAGAATATCTTCTTGATTAATCCTCTTGACATTATTCTCTTCAGTACCTTTACATGCATATCTAGTTTTTCTATCTCAAATTACATTGGACTATAACAAAATTAATTATGCTTATAGATGACAAAAGTTGAAAGGTCAGAATTCCATGTCAATAGAAGTAAAACCAAAACTATTATCTATAAAAGAAGAAAGATAAAGATTAAATTATAATTTTTTCTAGCAATATGCTAGAAATACATCAAGGATAACTATCTAAAATATCCAAATATTCTTAATTCTTTACTTTTATGCTACTGTTTTCCCTAGAGATATTATTGTCTTGTAGGTGTACAGACCCATATAACAAGGTTTTCTTGCATGTCTAACAAAGAAAACTAAATTCTATATTTAAGGGACAATTATGGATTCTTTATATATAGAAGAATGTACCATATAAGGTTTGGGCATGCTGGTACTCTGCTCTTCTTAAGTGAGTGATTGGTAATTTTGTGATAAGCATTCTAAAGGAGAGGAATCAGAAGCAACCTTAGACCACTGAGTAGTCCAAAAGGCAGAAATCTTGTTATAGTCAAGTTCTATCATTAAGGATTCAAGGTAGATAAGATTTGCTTGTTTATATTATTATTTTTGTTGTTTGAAAGGTATTGTCCAGTCCAACCCTCAACATTAGCCTGAGATCACAAACTCAAATGCTTCCAGAGGTCAAGCAGATATCATAACTGAATAAACTTGTTTGCTTGTGGGAGCAATAGGGAATGGTAGCAACTATGGAAAATTAGAGAACACATGACTCATCTAAAGGGGGCAACTGCTTGTCAGGTTAGTCAATTGCACATGTGGGATTTTGAACAAAAATTTGTTAGATGTTCCATTTTTTTCATTTTAAAAAATCAGATTTTAGGTGGACTGTCCAACGTTAGGACTTTTAGCCACAAATTCATTCTTAAAAAAGACTATGTATCCCATGTTCAGCTTTTGATAAATATTAATTTAATTAACCAGATGAATACATAATCAACTTGACTCCCTGCTGTCCATCTGGTGCTAGAAATATATGCTATGGAGAAATTAACTTTATTATTATTGTTGTTATCAAGAATGCATTATAAATAAATCTGTAGAGTGATTGAGCTAGAGAACCCCATAACTGCTTTCTTGTGCCTTGATTTTCAACAGCTTTCCCTGATGAAATACCAGTTTTGCTAGCAAAGTGTCTATTTTTTTCCCAGATGGTGAACTCTCCTATAATTAAGTGAACATGTTCTGCAGGGGGCTCAGTGGGATTGTTAGACACTAATTTTAAAAAATGCTATGACTCTTTTTGTAAAACAATCTAATATCTTCCTAACCAAGCTTTGTCACTTCATTTTCCATAATAGAGGTGGAGGGAGTTAGACAGATTCTATTTTTTTATATCCCCCAATTGCTGATTTATTTAAAAGGGCCCTAAGTTAGACAAAAATAGCAGGAGTGGGTACTTTTACCTGAATCTTTGCAAAATCAAGACCTTAAGATTGTGTTATATTCTGCATCTACTTGGAGGAGCAACTCTGGTTTCTTAATAGAACTATGTTTAGATTAAATTATAGAGTTGACACCTGTACTTTCCTCATTTTATCTTCCACCTCATAAGCCCATCTTGACCACCTTCAACACTACTCCTTGCTCACCCAGTTTCTTATCTGGTAATAATGAAAGAAAATAACACTGTGTATCACTCCTGAGAATATATGTGCTTTACTACGAGACATTTAATGGGCATTTCTTCTAATGAATGAATTTAACACTAAAGATAAAATTTGGGGGTAGGGAAAATGGAAAGGAAGCAAGGGGCTTCTTTCTGCAACAGTCTTGAATCAATGCAGCAATTTGAAAATGACTTTGCCCTCATGTAAATGAGGCTCTGATGAGTACCACTGTATCATATATAATGTGACATAGGGACATGAGTGATCCAACGCAGTCTACCTTTTCCAACCTCATTCATACTCTGACACACAAGTTCCAAAGTTGAAGAGCTCTTCCCCCTCCCTAGATAAAAAGAACTACACTCCAGGAATTTTTCATACTGGTTATAAACCTGTCAAGCTTTTAAACCAAAAACAATGAAGGAATAATTGGAACAGATGGCAGACCTCAGAAAGACGACATCCACTGGGAATACAGCTGTTGGATAAATTTGTGAGATGTTTCTTCTATGATGAATTGACTCTTTAAGAAAGCTCAGTTGCTATTCAGGAAGATCTGTGTGTATACATATATATTTTTTCAAGTGACTTGTAATAAATCACTTCTGATGTCACTCACTCCACTTAAGCAACAACAACAAAGGCTGAAGCTAAAATACATTTAGATACCAAAAATTCTCCACACAATTCTGGTCTTGCCCTTACTGACTCCCTGAAGGCTTCAAACTCTTTGCCATGGTCAAAAATTGGCAAAGTCGGCTCAGTCACAACACAAAATTGAAGACTTTGCTTCTTTGAGACTCTCAGGACAGAAGCTCTGGAAATGCACCTCCTGAGGGATTTAAAATAAAACTTCAAAAGAATGAGAGCAGTTACAGCTTAAACAGGTTACTAGAAGGCTGGAAATTACCTTCCTTAGAGAACAACTTTAAACAGAGATCCGATTCCCGTCTGTCTGAAATGTTTTAGGTATTGTGCAGCCTGAAGGCACAAGGAGAGCGTCAGTCAACATTTATTGAGTGCCCACTGTGTATACTGCTATGATTACAGCGGCAACCGCTACCATAAGAACAATTCTCAAGCTCTTGAAAGCATTTTCTTGTGCATTAAAGCGAAGCTCTCCTGGTTCACCTAATTGCTCACATGCCATGTGTATGTTAATGGTGCTAATTTTGACACTAACCATTATTCTGAGGGTATTTAAGCAAGCAGCCAATATCTTTTAATTTGGCTTAAAAGAGCCATTTTCTCACCAAAAATCCATTCTTCTAATTGACAAGCCGTAATCTAACTCCAAAACATTTGGCTCTTCTTTTAAACTTGATTTTGGGTACTGACAATGACTTTAGGAAGTTTGGGGAGGAAAGAAAGAAAAATGACAAATGCCACAATGTTAACCTTCTGCTTTTCCAACATAAAACATGCCATGGAACATGAGGTTTGTGCATGTGGAGGCTGAAGACAGGAAGAGAGGTAGGCTGTGGGGTAGAGGAAGCAGCCTTCATGGAAATGACACTAGGTGAGAAGTAAGAGGAAATGAGTTAAGTCCTTGCCTCAGCCAGTAACTAGTACTTTTACTCATACTTTCACATCCTAAATTTCTTCAAGGCTAAAATACATGGACTGGAGTATATGATTTCTAAGATGTCTTCTGGTTCTAAGATGGCCCGTTTTTCCACCTGTTGTTTGATTTTTGCATTCCTTTTTATTTCTACCAAGAAGAACTTTAAAGTTTACAAACAGAATGAAGGTATACTACTTTCCTACTGAGTAAAAGAAATACTAACAAAAATTTTCAGCATCCAATGAAAAATTGTGTAAATGCATCTTACCATCTTTTAATATCTCCCTTTGCATTAATTGGCATAGAAAGCCAGTACTGGGCAAGCTATGGCTATAGATGCTTGTCAGTACTGTCTAACCGTAACATAATTAAAAGCTTAATAACATTACTAAAAGATTGAATATAGAAAAATATCGATGAAGTCCTTGCACATCTTCCAAACTTAGCTGAATTTTTAGAACCTTTGAAGTATTCAAATTCTAATCTTAATGGTATATTACTCGGTATGGACTAATTACTATAACCAACATCTGCTATTTTCAGATCTTTTTTTTTTTAAGAGTTTATTTATTTATTCATGAGAGACACACACACACACAGAGAGGCAGAGACATAGGCAGAAGGATAAGCAGGGGACTTGATCTCAGGATCCTGGGATCACAACCTGAGCTGAAGGCAGATGCTGAACCACAGAGCCACCCAGACTTCCCAACGTTGGGAAATGTCTATCTCTGCCCTAGGAAGAAGGCAAGATGACACTGATGATCATCTAGCCAGGCTGTCACAATATTAGACAATTGAGAAGAAATAGAATCCAAACAATGAAATCCCCCAACATGGGATTTATGAAAGCCTCACCAGAAACAGAGTATACAGTAGAATTTCCAGCTCAGCTTTTCCTTATTGAAAAGGAACAGACAGTCTGGCAAGAGTTAATTTCAGAATGTCAGCTATCCAGTTTCCAATTATTTAGAACCTTCAAAATAAAGACTTCAACTTCCGTGCCCTTTGCCAGTCCATTTGTGCATTGGGGTTGCCCAACAGCCATGAAGGCGTTACCGTTAAGACAATGATCCTTCTTGACATCTTCAATCTTTTGGTGACCAATATCCAAATGATCTTACTTACAGGTTCTCCTTACCGGGATAAAATCACTATTGCTATTCTTCAGTTACAAGAAGAGGGCAAACTGCATATGATGAAAGAGAAGTGGTGGCGGGGGAATGGCTGCCCCGAGGAAGACAGCAAAGAGGCCAGTGCTCTGGGAGTAGAAAATATTGGGGGCATCTTCATTGTTCTGGCTGCTGGACTGGTCCTTTCTGTATTTGTAGCCATTGGAGAATTTATATACAAATCACGGAAGAACAATGATGTTGAACAGGTGAGTCATCTCTTTCTAGGACGAGGTAGTTTTTAGTTTGTGTTATCTGTCTTAAGTTTGAGGGTTTAAATGATGCCTGCCCTTTTTTTGTAACAGTCTATTGAATTAGATGCCCAGAAGAGCCATTTCTGAGTTAGAGCAAAGAGCTATTGAATCCCTGCCAGGTGCTGCTGGCACTGCAACCCCATCATTTATTAATGAGAAGAAGGAAGCGCCTTATATACTAAATCCAATTAGCACTATTTGGAATGGCAGTGCAGAAATTCCAAACTCAGTTAATTTCTTGAACAGTTATTTGCTCTTAAGATAGAAACCCTAGATAAAGCAAGCAAGAAATAAATCCAGAATTGGAAAAGATATAAAAAGATCTTTGAGAAAAATGTTACCATCCTTTCTTTAAGTCTAGATGCTGAGCACATGTACTAATGCAAAACAATTTACATAAAGATATAAATATAGTATTTTGAAACTGAGCATTTAGCTCTCTCAAAATATGATTTGTAAAAGGATAATTCACCAATTTGGGGGGACCAGGAATATGATAAATTATACAGAATGACAATGAATTTATTAGACACTTTATTTTTCCAAATTGTATTTAGAATTATAGTTGATTTTAACAGTCAACCATTTTTATGTCACTTTTATTTTTGATAGAAATCGCACCAGGAACTTACACCGTTCTGAATAAGATGATTGTATTATTCCTTCATAAGCATGCTAGAATAAACAAAGTACAAAGCTCATGCCTATTGTCGTGCATTAGGCCACCCATTCAAATTAAAATTATTGTTAGAATTTTGAGACTAACAACAATTAATAACAGGGCTAGTTTAATGCTCAGCTGTCACTCTCTTGAAATTAATTATTTTAAACAAGGGGTTCCACATTTTCACTGTGCACTGGATCCCACAAATTATGCAACCAGTTCTGATTAATAATCCCATACCAGTCTCATTTCCTTAAGCTCCCAAAGCTGGGGATGGTTGATTATAACCTGGCTTTATCATGAAAATTTTCCCACAATTAAAAGGCAATTGTGAGAACATTAAGCACCCCTTTCTTAGATTTTGTTAGAGAAAACTATCGATTTAAAAGGGAAAATGGACTGTTCTGCTTTGTTTTAACTTTCAATTTGCTCTTGAGGTGTCTTGTTTTATGCAACTAATTTGAAAAATAAAAGCTTGTATATGTTATGCTTTAATGTGCTTCTCATAATTGCCAGCTTCATTTTATTTAAATTTTCATTTAAACACTCATTTTTGCTTCTGATTTATTCATTTTTTTCTATATTTTTTTCTCATTTCTTTTGCATGCAAGGCTTTTTGTTTCTTTTATGGACTGCAGTGTAAGCAAACCCATCCAACCAACTCCACTTCTGGAACCACTTTATCTACGGATTTAGAATGTGGCAAATTAATTCGAGAGGAGAGAGGGATTCGGACACAGTCCTCAGTTCATACTGTGTAATCAGTTAAAGAAAAAAAAAGTGTGCCCAGTAGAAATTGTTTCTGCTAATTGGTGTTGTTGATGGTATCTGTATCTACTAAGCATAAATAGCCATATTCCCTATCCTTTTAAGATAGCAAAACTCATGTACTTTAGACATTGAATTCAATGCACTGAGAACAGATGTGCATTCTGTGTTGAAACTGAGGCTTATTAAGGGTATATAAACTCCAAGATATGTGTATTTTCCAGAATCTGCTATATTATCAAGAGAATGGTTATCTTATTGCATGCATTAAAAATAAATCTTTCTTCGTGAAAAAGTAGATCCAGATTTTCAACAGTGCAAACCATAAAAACAAAATACTAATATTGTGGGATTCTTTTCATCTTTGTGGACCTTTTTTCTCCTCTTTCTCTCTCCCTGTCCCTTATGTTCTGTATATCCACACACGTTCAAATTACCCGAAGCCCTGTCTTTTTGTAGCAACTCTGTAACAATGTTGATGTTCAACTCAAATGGATTCCGCTATTTAAAATGTATTACTTACACAAAGACTCAAAGATGTCTTAGATTTAAAAATTGATAAATGTGATCCCAGAAAATGAAAACTAAACTTGAAACCTCTGGCGTCACAAAAGAGCATTAGCTAAATTGAACATCACTCAGAAAGGCACAACACAGTCGAGAATGATTCCTGGGTAGAAATTCATTATCATCAAGTTCTCACATAACATTTACTTGACAGTCCTTTGTAGGTTCAGATCATAGTATGCTCAGAGTCTCTAAGGAACTGCTATTTTTTTTTCATGCTATAGATTATTTCTTGCAAACTCCAGACAAAGTCCTAAACTAGGAACTAATGCATAACATCTTCTATTTTCCACTTACTCACTCTCACTCTGCACTGATGAACATCTTTTCACAAGATGTTATTTTATCCCCTTCCTACTCACCCAGGATAGAGTGGTTGTTCTCATAGCAATCCTTTCTGAGCATCACCACTTTCACACTCATTTCTCTGGACCCTTCATCATTTATCAATTCATTCCAAGTATATTGGGGAGAAGGGTAAGGAGGAGAAAATAAGTAGAGGAAAGAATTTCCATACACATTAGTTACAGATCTCTGTAGATTTATTTTCCGCCTGCATTCAAAATGCTGTAAATAATTCCCACTCTAACTCAGCTTGGTGATATAGAAAACCAACTGCATACTTAATTGGTTGTGATGGAGGATGTCTGCTGTCCCTCTGAGCTTCTTTCCTCTTTGCAGTGAGTAGGGGAATTGAAGATGCCTTTCATCTTTCCTCAATATGGGATCAGTTGGTTTTTGTTCTCCTTAATGGGATTACCTTTTGACATATGAAGTTAGGCCCCAAAACATAGTTCTCAGAAGTAGAGATAAGCCATCTGTACAATCATGTAACATTTTGTCTTCTCTTGCTTAGCTTTAAATGGGTTCCAAATTTTGAACACAGGTCTCTTTAATCAACACTATATTTCTTCAGTAAAGCACGTTTAGGAAAATTCACTCTTGCCCTGATTGTTTCTCAGTCTTGCTTTCTTCTTTAAATAAATGTACTTTTAAGAAAATATCTATAAATTACACCAACATTTATTTATTATTATTGAAGTGAAAGCAACATACTTTGTCCTGGTTCAGAGTTGCATCTTCATAATCAATAGAGTCAATGTTGGGATAAATATTTTATTATTCATAATTCATTGATTCTATATATAGAAATCACAGATTACCTAAGTTTATATTCCCAAGGGCTATTTAATAAATCAAAGATGCTACCAAAAAACTATAAGGGTAATTGATGAAGTTTAGATAATCAAGGCTAGCAATAACAAAATTCACTTTTCTACAGACTAACCTTTAAAAGTGTAATTCAGAGGTTGAATAAAATTAATATTTGTATGCCACTTTAAGCTGTATACTACCTATTTCTCATACTTATAAATTATTTTACAGTTTTCAAAATGTTTGAAATGATAGTATTACATTTAATCCTTTCAACAATTTTATTTCAGCTTTACTAACAGATAAATAGATATTAGTTAGCAGTCTGGAATCCTAGATTTTAGAATCAGAAGAGATTTTTCAAAATCAACCAAACTTAGGTGCAAGTTCTAGTACCTTCACATACTGAATAACTATAGACAAGTGGCTTCATTTCTCAGAGCCTTGGGCATTATGTCTAGGTTGTACTGAAGGACTCTCTTTCATAATGGATCCCATTGGCAAATGTTACTCAAGTAAGATTTTCCTGGTGTAAGTGACCCATAGAGCATTACTCTAAACATTCATTTACTGCATGATATCTCAGTGTGTTTAACATGCTATGATGCATTGGGAATTTTCAACAAGATTGGAAAGTATTCAGTATTTCTCAAACTTACTAGATAACAGAATCTATTTTTCCCCAAAAACATCTTGACAGACCATTGTTCTATAGATCATACTCAAGGGAACACTGGCCTAATAATGTTTATCTCATCCAGTGATAATGTACAAAACATATTAGCCATGCCTGGCACATAGTTCTTATTATTGGGGGTAATTTTTTAATTTCTCTGAGATTTAGTGTCTTCAATTGTAAAATGAAGATAATCTGTCGACCTCTATTTGCTATGAGAATTGAATGAAATAATATAATGGCATAGAAAATGAGATCATTTATAAGAATCCTGTTAACAGATACTGGTTAACAGTTCCTCATAGAGAAATTAAGTATTGTTCTCTAATCAAGTGGATGGTAAGTACAATTTATCATGCATCTTAATACAGAGTCAGTTTGGAAAAGAGGTTTCCCAATATAAAGGTTCAAACTAGCTCTAAAACCACATTTCCTCATGCAAGCATTAAAAATCAAGGGCAATTTCATTGCCTCCAAGGGAAGGACTCAAACCACCAATACATGAGGATCTAGAAGTTATGAACCTCATCTCTAGAAATTCTAATTTGATTAGTCTGAAGTGGGAGCAGGACAATAGTTTTGTTTTGTTTTGTTTTTTTAAGATAACCAGTTGATTCTATTGTTTAGTAGTGATCTAAAGCATAACCTTATGCATATAATTGGCATTCAATAAATCACTGATGTTACTTGATTCTAGAGGTATGACACTAATTGTAAGCAAGAGATACAGCACATATTTAGCATTCAATGTTCAGTAGACCTTTTCTAGAGAGAATTCAAAAAGAAACTCTACATCTTTGTTATAAATATTTCATTATATTCAATTGATAATCTTCATATTTAGTTACAGCTGCTAGGCCTACTCAAAATGATCAAATCAGAAGTTGAATTGGTCTCTGCACCCTTTTTTCCCTTGAAGGACCTCCATACATTTCAGAAATGTAAGTCCCTTACACTCTCTTCTTTCTCACTTTATACATGCCCTAAACAACCAATTCTTGAGGTCAAGTAAATGATCACTCACACCACAGTGACCCCACTGAGAGCCATTGGATTATAAGTGAAATTTAGAAAAAAGGGGAGAGGGCTTGAACATGAAAGAAAGTTTTCCAAACTTGATTTTTA